GAGAACCTATAACTAACTATTCTCTTTACATTCTGTTTCTCGAAAAGTTTACGAAATCAGCTAAAAATCTAATAGACTACAAGTCAAAATATAATTTTTTTGAAAAAATGTATGCTGTAAAGATCAAATCTTTTGATTTTCAAAATATTTTTAAAATTGAACCAGATCTTGTCAATTAATCTCATATTTATTTATTAGAAAAAGACAAACTCGGGCCGAAATTATAATGTTTTTGGTTTTAAATAGTTATAAATAATATAATAATAATAATACCAGGTTAGTCGTTAATTTAACAAAGGCAAAATCCGATTTTGACAAACAATAAAAAAATACAATTATTTATGTACACGCCTTGATAGGTGAAATTGCATTTTCTAATAGTTTTCAAGACATCCAACTGTACGATTAGTTACTTCACTAGAGATGCAAGAAATGCTAGTAAAGTAGCAGCTGCACGTTTCATTTCTTTTTTGTTTTTGGTTAACCAACGTTCGAAATGTTCTCCCGAACACACCGTAAAATCGCCCCGTGCACTGACTAAATGTACATACCGGCCAGCTTAAAACATTGAATATCTCCAGACCGTCGGGAGAGTCATAAAATTGTTGGAGATTATGACAACCCCCAATAATATTTTCGTTTGAAAGCTTCCTGAAACTGAGCAAAGCAAGGAAATGGTTGTTATGTTTCGATTTCCCGGTGCCAGATTGATGGCTCGTTTTCGATTAGGGCCCGATTTCTGAATTTGCTTAATAAAAATTGACGGGAAGGGCGTTCAATAACGTCTCAAAGCGCCTTGAACCTTGGAATTTCAATATTCCAGAGAAAGTTCCAAACAGACCAGTTTTCCAAAGGAATCTGGAAAGTTTGCAGTTTCCTCCAATTAATGGGTTTTACCAGCCTTCCTTTACACACAATTAAAAAATAAAATGTGTATACACAATGGGTCATTAAGCTTGAAATGATTTTGAAATCTTGCAGCCTTTGCAACAAATTGAATGGTTTGGAAACCCCAGAGGATACAACATCAGCTACATCGAACTGAGAACTGGTCACATTTACAGTGCCTCAATCGAAGATCACACTGCCAACTCGCACGTAATCATCGGGCTTGAAGAATTTGCTCTGTACGAAATTCGAATGCAAGCATGCAACGATGTCGGCTGTTCTTCGGTAGGACCGAAAGCCCTTGAAAGAACACGAGAATCGGGTAAGGGGTTTGTAAACCATCCCTTTTGAGGGCAGCCCTCGAAGCCCTTTGGGCGATAATATTCTATATAAGTCCTTCTATTCCAGTACCAACCTTTGGGCCTTTGAACGTGATGGCAAACGCAACCTCATCCACTACCATAGTGGTAAAATGGGGCGAAGTGCCCAAGGAGCATCAGAACGGTCTGATCGAGGGCTTCAAAGTCTACTATGCCACTGATATGAAAAGTTCCGACTACAAGGTTATCCCCAATAATTCCACCTTCACAACCACTCTGACGGAGCTGAGAAAATACGTGGTATATCACGTCCAGGTACACGATCCGTTGCTTAATCCGCAATAGAAACTCATGAATACTTGGTGCTCAGGTTCTGGCGTACACTCGTCTGGGAGATGGCGCGCCCAGTAAACCAGCTATGAGTGTGCGAACCTTCGAAGATGCTCCTGGGGCGCCCTCAAACGTATCATTCCCCGATGTGTCGTTCACTTCGGCCCGAATAATATGGGATGTACCCGAAGAACCCAACGGCGAAATCCTAGCTTACAGAGTGACCTATCACATCGACAACGCAAACTCAAACAGCAAATACGCAAAAGAGTTTCCTCCCTCAGATAGAACGTTCCGATTCACGCAGTTGGAAGCGGAGAAGTTCTATCTGTTCTCTATCACAGCTCAGACGAGGAGTGGATGGGGCAACACAGCGCAAGCTTTGGTTTTCACCACCAACAACCGCGAACCACCCACGGAACCTTCGGTGCCGCAAATCAGCAGATCGCAGATCCAAAGCAGAGCAATCACTTTCAGTTGGACGCCTGGAAGAGATGGCTTTGCACCACTGAGGTGAATTTAGAGAACACTGACAATGCGAATGGGGGTCTAAGTGTCTTGTTGCAGATACTACACTGTTCAAAAAATGGAAAACAATGGACCATGGCAATCGTTGCCGGAAAGGGTGGATCCACATCTCAATTCATACACTGTTCAGAATCTGAAACCCTTCACTACTTATCGGTTCAGGATACAGGCAACAAACGACATTGGTCCGAGCAGGTTTAGCCCGGAATCTATTGAAGTTCGAACGTATCCAGCTGGTGAGTAATTTGTATATTTCTGAGGTCAAAACAATGAAACTTCTGGTGTCTAATATAGTGGAATGATAAAAAGTCGAAAATTTTCGAGGAATTGTAATATATCGAAGATATGTTACTAACTATTCAATTCCACCGCTAAAGAGAAACATTTCATTTTTCTGTCTACCTGTTATATGAGTAGAAGTCAACCGTTTGCTCTATTGGTTATTTCATTCACATTCCAACCAAGACGAGCTGGAAAATAGTGGCCACCCATTAAAATTATTTTATTACACAGGATTTTTTCGAAAACCCGCGGCATTTATAGCAATTTTTTTAATGAAACGCCTTGTATCAATGTTTCGCAATTGATTCTCAATTGGTGGTCAATTGCGGATATAAGAACATAGCGTAACTGCTTTCAAAAGATGCACCAACGCACAAGGAGTTGGCGTTGTTCATAAAGATCACTAAACTGCATTTTTTGTTAATGGAACACGCCATATATTTTTATGCTTGTTTGTATATTTTTATGCTATCTTGAAGGTTCTTCAGCAAGCTCTCAGAAAATGTTCAATGATCAACACTTTGAAATACAAGTTTCTGAGTAAATCGGTTGTAAAGTCAAATTTTTGGTGGAATTAGCGCCATTAAACAACAAGTTTACAAGACCAAACAGATCGAACTGAAAAGTTTTTTTAGTATAGTATTAATTTTTTTCTCAGTAACTATAAATCTGACTATCTAGGAAATCGTTAATATGATCTTTAAGTCGGAGAATGCAAAAAACCATTGCTGCCCGATATCCTAAAGGCTGAAAAAAAACCCGAAAATTGAAGCACACATAAGTTTATTGGATAGATTTGCAGAAACAAGAAATGTTGCAATTACGAGACGAACAATAATTAGTAAAACAGTAACAAATGAAGACACTGAACTCACGCTATTCCTATCAGTCCAAGTAGACCTTCAGACTTGCACATTAGACTCTATTATTAAAAGGACTATAAACCTTACAGAATTACTGCCAAAAATATGTTTAACCAATGTTTTTATAGGAGGACCTTTGAAGTAAAATATTTCGAAAACTTTGTCTTATTCTGGTTTTCATGTTCAGCTAATGTTGGTACCATTTTGTAAAATTTAGCCTTGAACATAACATGACCATAAGAAAAAGTCAATTGGTGTCATCTCAGGTGATCTAAGTGGCTATTCAATTGCACTACCGCACCCAATCATACCATTTATCTTCCAATCATTTTAGTAATTTCTTACATTCATATGCATTGATATTACAATTTGCTACAGCCGATTGTCTGAAACGTGTGATTTAAAGTACTGACAATTAATCCTTTTCTGAAATATTGTTGGAAGGCTTCAAGATCGCATAATAATGTATGGAGTAAAAAAATAACTCCATGTATGAGGTGCCAATAAATAAAATATAAATTATTTGTTCAACCAGCTCCAAGCAAACCTGTGTCTGGGCTCAAAGTGGTCCCAATAACTACAACAAGTGTGGAAGTTTTCTGGATACCCATTGAGGAGCAATACTGGAGTGGCGATACCAAATCGGGTGGATATAAGGTAGTTTTTCAGCCCGTTTCGGACTTTCCCACCGCTCTACAAGCCACACCCAATGAAGAAGTAAAAGGAATTAATGTAAGTACATATAGGAAACTCGTGTTCATTCAGTCTATATCTACTAGATATTTAAAATCCTTTTTCACTCTGAATTCAACAAGTCTATGAAATGTTTGTTCAGTTTGTTCTTTTTTTCAAATAACCAAAAAAGGAAAATTCGATTACTTGATAGAAATGATTGCTTAAAAATGCGGGTTTTCTGGTTTTTGGTCTAAAACGAGAAAAACTGTAAATTTTGAAGAAACTTTAACATTCTTCAGAGCAATGAGGTTTTCAATGAGTTTTCCAAATAGTTGATCATATGCTTTTGCTTTCTCTGATCGTTTTTTTGGAAATCTATGTTTTTTTGAGAAAAAAGCAACAGAACTTTGTTTGGATTTTGTCCCAAATTCTAAAGTAAAACGGGCATTTGAAAAAGACACCAAATGAAGGAAAAGAAGACCAAACTATAAATACGCCCAGTTTTTGATTCAAAAACCCTCAGTTTGCCACAGTTTAGAAAGAGTTTTGTTTAGGCGTGATATGGACTAAATAGTTACTTAAACAGGAATACAAAAGCATATAACTTCGAACCGCATCAAACTGAGACCTCAAATCCACATTGCTGTCGCCTATTTGTTGTTCACAAACGATTTGAAAGAAAAACCGTTTGTTCAATTTCCAGCTTCTCTAGACAAGTCAATGTCTGAACAAGCCAAATTCCACCCCATATCCATTATGACAATGTTGTTTTAGGCCAACAAGATGGTTCTCAATGAACTGCTCCAAGACAAAAACTACGAAATCATTGTGGTGCCATTCAACATCCAAGGAGAAGGACCTGCCAGCCCACCCGTCACTGTTTACGTGGGAGAAGCAGTACCGACGGGAGAACCGCGAGCGTTGCAAGCAAAACCGGTGTCTTCGACCGAAGTGAGACTGAAATGGAAGCCGCCTCAGCAACACATGCAAAACGGAGAACTGCTCGGATATAAAGTAAGCCCTACGCGAATTAGCACGTTTCCAAACTAAGGCCACTGTGTAGATCTTCTACTTGGTGATCAACTCGCCGCAAGAGCTAGAAGACGGCAAGAAATGGGAGGAGGAAATCGAGATAGTGGCGCCGTCGTCCACTTCTCACAGTCTAGTTTTCCTGGATAAATACACAGAGTACCGCATCCAGATTTTGGCGTTTAACCCAGCGGGAGATGGGCCCAGATCACAACCCATATTAGTAAAAACCTTCCCAGGTCTTCCCAGCGCGCCGGTTAATCTAAGATTTACCGAAATCACCATGAACAGTCTGATGGTGATGTGGGATGCCCCGAAAAAGCCAAACGGCGAGATTGTCGGGTATATCGTCACATACGAAACGGCAGAGGAAAATGAAAGTGAGTGAAACCTAGCTGAAAACCCACCAGTTTTTTTAATGCAAACCATTCTAGGATTCAGCAAACAAGTCAAGCAAAAAGTAACCACCAACTCTTTGCAAGTGCAGAGTCTGGAAGAAGAAATTACGTACACGTTCACGGTTAGAGCGCAGACATTCGACTTTGGCCCTCACATATCAAACAACGTAACCACAGGACCTCAGGAAGGATCACCTGGGTCTCCCAAGGAATTGACTGTGGTCAAACAACTGTCCAATGTGGAACTGCACTGGTTAAATGGGCCGACTGGAAAAGGGCCTATTTCGGGATACTATTTGGAATCGCAACGTAAAGGTATTTTGTGGAAAAGACGTTAATATTCGCGTGTTTATGAGAAATCTTCTGCAGATGACTCCCGATGGCAAACAGTGACAAAAACTAGCAACGGACCGTTGCAAGATTTCACCATTTCCTATCAAAGCCTTTTGCCCTCCACTGCATACATTTTCCGAGTGATTCCCTACAACAAATTTGGAATCAGCTGTCCAGCAATGTCCAGGGACTACATTCTGACTCCTTCCAAGTTATACATGGAATACGGATACCTACAAAACAGTCCCTTTTACAGACAGACTTGGTTCATGGTTGCTTTGGCTGCCACCTCAATTATTATCATTATCACGATTATAGCCATTCTCTGCGTGAAGAGCAAAAGTTACAAATACAAGCGTGAGTACTCAATGATTCTTCCACTCGGTACGCAGGGCTAATCATCGACGTGAATTGCAGAGGAGGCTCAAAAAACTCTGGAGGAATCAATGGCAATGTCGATGGGCGACCATCAGGACCTGGCAATGGACTACTACAGATCGAAAGGTGCGAATGGAACCATTACTGCTATTGGAACTTTGAGCAAACGGGGCGGGCAGAGAAAGCAGCCTCACAATCAACCTCCAACGATACTGGGTGTGTCATCCACTTCAAAATGGTTAAAACGAAGGTTTAATGGCATGGTTTATTTCAGGAAAATCCCCACCCAGACCTTCTCCAGCCTCAGTGCCCTACAACTCAGACGAGGAGAGTTTGAAGGGTTACGACGAGAATCCAGACGATAGCAGCGTAACAGAAAAGCCATCTGAAATGAGCTCATCTGAGCAGGTAAAAACTCTTTTTATGTTATCGGTGTTATCTAAGGCTGGTTGGATGGCCATTAAATAATCCTTAGCCGAAAGACGTTGTTAACGATCGTTAAAAATAATTTCGTAAAGTAGACATTGTGGGTAGTTCGAAGGGTAACTTGGAAAAGTCCTCAACTTTTACGCGCAATTACTATAAACGCATTAAGAACTGTTAAAGAAGAAGCAGTAGTGATACATCTATAATTTAAATTGCATAAAGTCAGAACACTATTTGATAAAATATTTAAGAGAAAACATTTTAATCTTGGCGGTTTATTCTTAAAAACATATTAAAATTTTTGAAATGATAATCATAATGTAAGCGAAGAGTGTTTTCTCATAAGTTGACACCCCTTAGATGGTTTATTTTAAAAAATTGTGGTTATTATTACTTAGATTTTCCAAATCTTTAATCAAGAAAAGACGTAAAAAGTCACAGATCGGTAGGATTTATTTTGCTGATTTTTGAAACATGTATAAGTGCTTAAGTCCAGATTACGTTTGAAAAAAAAACAATCAAGAGCAGTTAAGTCGGGCTATTAGGGGGCCATGGGACAAGATCAGCTCGTCCAATCCAGATAACAAAATTAACAAATGGTTGTTCTCTTCTTTGATATAATCGTTTGCCGCGAAAATATAGAACACGACTCTGGGGATACGCCGCATTAAATTCCTTTCGCGCGACCGGATGCATTTTCTTTTGCTTTTGTTTTGTAAACGGCAATTTCAACACTGCTTTGATTTGATTATATTTATAATTTTTAAAACGCAATATAAAAATTGTTTAAAAAATAAGCAAAATATATATTTCTGAAGTCGGGAAGAAAAACCCTATCGATCTGGCTGGAAATATGTAGGGTGTTCCATTAACAAAAAAATACCTCAAGTTTTTATTCTAACTTCAGATTTAAAAAATTTCAGTAATAATGAACAGCTTTAGTATTTACTATTTTTCACAATTTTTTGAAAGAAATGAAATAACTTATGAGGAAACGTCCTGTCGCGCGGTAAAATATCGGCGGTGAACAATATGAAAACATGTCTTTGGTAAACGGTAAAGAATTCAAGAAAATGTATTGCAAATTTGATCCGTGTCGTCTCGCGCTATTCGTTTACCCCCAAGGGTCTTAAGAAGTCGGGTGTTTTCTGCTGGCCATTGTACACACTTAGTGCGCGTGCACAGCCTTTATTTTATCGAAATTTTAAATTGCTTAGTCAGTCGAACAATTTTCGAAGAGAATGGCGGAAATTTCCAATGCTTGGAACATTAATTTGAAAACTAATTTTGAGAGAATTTTTTTAATTCGAAGGATTGTTGGACCAATAGATTTTCAATGATTATGAGCTTTCCAATATTGAACCAAGCGCCACTAAAAGTATTGAAAAAGTGGCAAAACATTTTACAACGACTACCGATTAACTAAAATATAACCAAATACGATCGATATTATGTTAACAATAATGAATCCATCTTGAACTTGCTTAAATGACCCTATAAAACGTTTATCTATATGTAAATTGTGCCTTTCTCTTGCAATCGGGCTCATGTAGTCTCCACGTATCAAGGTAAAGAACTTCCCTTTCGACGTATTTATACACCAAATACAGCTTTGGCACTCAATGTTTCATCGAAACAATGACTTGTACTGTACCCAGCTTGAGTTATTGCATGCTTAATGTCCATTAATTCAAAGGGGTATTAAAACGGTGCCTTAACTGTTCAATTTTGCTTGATTTAGGGTTCGGAGAGTGAGAACGAAAGTGTGAGATCCGACCCACATTCCTTCGTAAATCACTATGCCAATGTGAACGACACGCTACGCCAGTCTTGGAAGAGGCAAAAACCCGTGAAAAACTACAGTAGTTACACTGACTCGGAACCGGAGGGTAGTGCGGTGGTTAGTCTTAATGGTGGTCAAATCGTCCTGAATAACATGGCACGATCGAGGGCGCCCCTGCCCGGGTTCTCTTCGTTCGTTTAGGTCAACTTTTAGCTAATTTCCCAAGTCCATGGACTGGCGAATTGGGCTGAAAGCTAGTTGAACCGGGTTTTGTTTCATCCACTGCCAAAACGAACAAAACTTCGCCAGTCCATGAGAGCTTTAACTCCACTTCCTTGATTTTATATTTCTTAAATAGAACTATCTGTGAATGCGTAGCTACTTAAGAATTACTTATTATTGTACATACATAAATAGTGTATAATTATAAAAGTTTTATCTTATGGACCAAATGTGGGCAAGCACCTTGCCTGATCTCGTTGGCAACTGTGAAAGAATGGTAGAATCATTGCGTTCTAGTATTTTTTCGCCAAGTCATTTTCAGATGGATCCTTATTTAACCTCGAACGATCGTTTGGAGGCAAATAACAAGACCATCTGAAGTAAGTATTGACAGTAGGTTATTGCAATCTATTACTTAGCAAATAGTTAAGTAGTGTAGCCATAATATTGCAGCCATATTTATTTCAACTGAACCTGCATAATCGGCGGTTTGGTTGCCTTATAGTCTGTTTGATTGCGAACTTATTTAAGTACGAAAAATATTCGCAAATATTTCATATTGTCGAGCATGGTATTTATTACTTATCTATACTAAACATGAAGTCAAGTAAGATATCTCCATCTTTTGAATAATTACTCAGAAGTTTCCATGGGTTGATACGGGTATGCTCCAATTTTTTTCCATTATATTTCGCCCGGTATACACAGTCGGATTCGGATACAGTACAAAAATAGTATGAAAAGTTCTTAAACATGTTTTTGTACTCACTCCTCCTATCTAAAAATTACTAGTATAATGAAAGCATTATTTTTTGTGATAACAGTCGACAAGCTTGCATAAGATGAGCAAATGAAATTAACAAAGGTCCAAAGGCAATTGTGACTTCTTTTCATTGCCAAACACGGACTGGATACAGTATTTGTGTATTTGCGATACACATTCTATCACAAATACACGAAACAAATGTGACTATTTTCAAATAGATGGAAACTTTGACTGAGAAAATGCACTTCTTGTTGATAGCATGGAAAAAAATGGTATGTGTATTATCATGATCTAATAACATGTTTCGTAGTTCTTGGAATCAAATATTGCTCTATTAGTATTTCTGCAAGCTTAATTACTGTTAGGTTTACAAAAAAAATATTTTGTTATACCGATACTTATTAAAAAAAAACGGATTCAAGGACCGATATCTTTGCAGCAGAAGACCGTAGAAAAATCACGAGATGTGGACATTTTGGTTAGCATACTTTGGATTTTTGGTATTAATATTGTTGTTCAAATTGACGAGAGAAAATTCGTTTAAAATCCCTACAGAGAAACTGAAGATTTTTTTGAAAATAATTTAGCCGAGAGCAATATTGAAGAAAAATGCGAGAAAACTAAACAATTTATTTACAGGTGTGTGCGACAAATAATACAATGGTAAAGCCACTCGTATTTAGAAACTTATTCTGCATAATTGACTTATCTCAAAACAGCCGAAAAACTTCATAAATTTATAAAGTGTGACTGCAATGAACAAAATCTATTGTTTACGGTGCGACAAGGCAAAAGGCATTTACCATTATGGCAGAATGAATCTTTTAAACGCGACAATATTGTTTAAAAAAATATCGGTTATATAGTTGATAAAATTAACTAACCAAACCAATACATTAATGGCAAAAAAATAATCTTCTCTTCTCGGTTAGAAAATAAACAAATATAACGAACTTTTATTGACCCTCAACACTCCATAATGAACAAAAATCTAATACGACCTCTAGTTGACTCTAGACTCAAACATGTATCGTATAAAAAATTTGTTTCCTATAAAACAATGCGACTATAAATCTGGGCACGTTAACTCTTTTCAATCTAATCTCTTACTGGCTGGACATAAAGTACATAAAGTAGGAAAAAATCTAGTAATTGAACATTTTTTCGTTCTCAGCTCTAAGAAATTGAAAATTTTGTTAATCATTGAATTTTTCCAATATTACAAGCCGATGTTTGTCACTTGTGATTATTATTATATTGTCATTTGTTTATTATTTTTGAGCGACGTGTTTTGTTTATACGCGTGATCACCAAGAGCTGTAATCAACTTGAGTCAGATATTTTGCCGCCTGCGTTCGTAATTATTTGCCTCTCTCTCTCAGGCATCTTGGTTTGTAATCAAAAGATGTCATTTGTGATTTCCACAGCATTGAAAGTAAATTGAACACCGTTTATTTTGTGAGGCGATCGAGTTCTTTAGTTATTCAGTTCATTTATATTAATATTAACGGCATAGAAACACTTTCTCTTTCCAAAACTTGGCAATTTTTTGCACAAAAATTTAAATTATTGCAATTTTTCGAATTTGTGTCGGAGCGCACAACCCTTCCTATCCAAAATGAAACAATTAACTTAACTAATTATCTCGATCTCGAAAGCTTCTAACTTGATTACAATGGAAATTTATCGATAGGTTGGACTTTACTTTTGTTTGTGATATAGATGTTTCAGTTCGTTATGGAACAAATGTTCCCATAACTTAAAATACTCTAGGTAGCTTAGTTTATAATTTTTTAATGCAGAAAATAATTTTGGAAAGCTGTAAACTGGGAACATTTTGGAGTACTTATTATGTAGTATGGAGATAAATTACTTTGCTGCGAAATTAATAAAGCATCTATAAATGCAGTGTCATCAATAAAACACAAACACTAAATTTCACAAAAGCTAAAGACACATAAACACGTCTCTAATTTTCCGTCTAATAGTCGTTTTATATTGGCACTGTACAAAAAATAACCTACTGTCGAGCGCACTGAACAATTGATTAATTAATTGATAGTTGAAATAGCATTTCTAAAATTTTAACTATATGAAATAAAAGACTTAAGTAGGTAAGTTTTGTACATACTATTTTTTACTATTCTATTCTATTGTTGATATTTACCTTTAAGGAATAGGGTAACAGAGCTTTAGGATTATTACTACATCACTGTCAATTAAATCGGCTCTACATACCTCTCTAATGAACATTGTCTAGGAAAATTGAAAAGCTTTTGAAGGAAAAGTCAACTGAGTCAGAAGCAGATAAACCTGATTCAGTTGCAGCTCATTCACATTCATGGAAATATGTTATCGCTAGATATCCATTGTATATTATTTGTTATACATGTGTAAAATCTCAATTATTTCACTTGCAGTATTATTAATTTGTATGAGTGTGAAAAATGCGTAATATCGAAATATGTAAACTTTTAGGGTGTCGTGCAAAACACTGTATTTTACAATTTTTACAAAAAAGTAGATCTGATTTTACTTACTTTGCTCAACTGTTAATTTCCATTCTTGCATATCTAATTGACTATTAATTTGTCTGTTATCACTAGTGTAAAATGTAAATCAATGATTTCTTCCTTTGAAGAACATCCTTATCTCTACTGCCTTTATTACATTTAATTTATTATATTTAACAGCTGTTTGTATAATAAATCTGTGATTCTTTAGAACAAATATTGTTTTGTTTATTCATCTACCCACTAGCACGTAAAAATTGATGATTATGTAAAAAGTTTAGCTTAACGAATCATTTCAATGCCATTTAATAAATTTATTTTCAATAAATTCAATCGGCTGGCCAGACATTTATTTTTCTATTTTTGAATTATGCTTTTGGTAAACCAGGCCTTAGTTAGGACAGCAATCTGACCATGTCAGTTTTTTCCGGTATTTTTTTTTAACTACTCAACAAAAGAAACGTTACAGGGCCAAATTTGCCTTGAATTCGGAACTGGATAAATTCTGATTGGTGCGGTCGATTTAATTTCCGTTTTGAGTGTTATCTAGTTCAACTATTTTTCTACCAGTCCGGGTTCTTGTAAAAATTAATTTCGCATAAAGTTCCTACATGGTGCAGAATGGAACGCCCAAATGATCGTTGCCATTTTTTTGGTCGTTTTGAAGCAATTCCTAATTTTTTTTGTAAAACTGTCCGAAAACTAGACCGAGAAACAAAATTGCAACTATCATGTACAAGTGTGATTCTTCCTCCGGCTTAAAGTATTGTACGGATTTCACTCTGTAGCTATATATTCCAATATTCATAAATTAAAATTATTTTATTATATTTTATTCAATTTCTTTTACTTCATTTATATCACTATTAAATATTTTTAATTCACTTGTTTACATTGCTTAACCATACTTACTTTTGTTTTTTGCAACTGGTTTCGTGCAACTAAAATCGTATAACGAAAGTTTGAAGCAATATATGCCTGCCAAACCACACAAGTGGGGCATTAAGCTATTTATTTTAGCTGGAGTATCTGGTTTTGCCTATAATTTTGAAGTGTATGTAGGAAAAGGCAGTAATGAAATAATTCAAAACAATGAAGAAGATCTGGGAGCCACAGGAAATTTGGTCCAACGGTTATGTAGAATTGTTCCAACCAATAAAAATTATGTAGTATACTTCGATAACTTCTACACAGGCCTTCCGTTGGTGTCATGCTTCGCAAAAAAATGATTATTCTCTTGAGGTACCGTTAGGAGGCCCCGAATTCCAAACTTCAAGCTTCCAACAGAAAAGGAATTCAACAAAATGGCAAGAGGCACATATGATGGTGTCGATGTTTCCTGTATTGGCTGGAAAGACAACAAAACTGTTTGCCTTCTTTCTACATATGCTGGAGCACTTCCAAAAACCACTATACAAAGATTTGACAGGAAAGAGAAAAAACGAATTGAGATAGTGTCCATATATTATGTCTGAATATAATCGACACATGGGTGGCGTGGACCTTATGGATAGCCTTATTGGTAGATACAACATGAAAATTCGTTCCAAGAAGTGGTATATCCGATTATTTTATCATCTAATTGACCAGATGTTGGTGAATGCCTGGTTACTTTACAGACGAGTAGAAGAAAAGCGCGCGCAAGACACAATTATGAAACTTGCCGATTTTCGCGCAGAAATAGCTTATTGTATATGTAAAATAGGCACAGAACAACATATTAAAAGGGGCAGGCCTTCTGATACTGAAAAGAGCATACAAATAAAAAAACAGCGTTCTGCCACAACCGCTTATATTCCACCGAGAGACGTAAGGCTTGATGGGGCAAGTCACTGGCCCACATACGATGAAAATCGCCAGAGATGTAAATACCCTTCCTGCAAATCATTTTCGTACATTAAATGTACGAAATGCGGTCTACATTTCTGTTTAAACAAAAATAATAATTGCTTTTTAAAGTTTCATACTTCCTGAGACGATAGCCTTAGTGCACTATGTATCATATTAGCTACATTTAGAAATTTGAGAAAATAAATTAGTTCTACTTGACCTGGATTTTTTTTATTATTTTTTCCTTTACTTGGACACCATTATATCTTACAATACATTTTTATTGTAATTGAGAAAATTGCGTAATGCAGGGTTAAAGAAGTTAATTTCAAAAGAAAACCTTACACAACGCCGATCGTATGCATAAAACATCTCACCTGAAATGCTGTCAGGTCGGCGGTTGATCGGTTGCATCGAACTTGAGAGGGTATTGGCAGTACTCATCACTTGGCACTTTTCATGGAACACTTCCGAACGCGTAAGTATTGGCAGTACTTTACTACTAATGATCGTTTAAACTTTATTTTTTCCATTTTTTAAATCTACTCTGTGATCTAAATCTATTGTACACCACACGCGCACTACTGCTGATTCATCTCAGCAGTAGCTTGTTCTAAACAAAAGTGAAGCAAAATTGCCATTTCCCGGTTAGATGTTAATGTGAAAGTTTAACACGGCAGTTTCGCATATAAAGATGACTCTTAAAATGTGAATAAATCCTACAAAAATCGAAAAATTATACCCAAATTCTTCTATAAATACGACAAAACTGTTACATGGAATACAAGCTGACAGTATGAATAATTTTTAACGCGCATGCTTCAAAAGTAATTCGTGTGCTGTTGCCACGTTTTAGAAAAAAATATACTTTCAATGCAGTTTCTTGTTGTATGTTGTTGAGTATAACTTTTGTTATAGTTCAAATACTCAATCTCTATTTCACTGTTAACTTTTACTTGAGAAGAAAGAGAGAGTCATTTGTTGGCAACGTTGTTCTGCATAAAGGAGTATATGTCAATTATAAAAATAATAATAGAAAGAACTAGAAATAAGAAACGCCCAAAGCCCTGCATTATCAAACATCATTTTCTTCATTAAAATGACACAGGAAAAAGTAGTTTTATAAATTTATGATAAACTATGTGGCCCAACATAAAATCATTCGAATATATTCATTAATTATAACCTGAGAAAACTTCCCGAAATTGCTAATTTCCGTTACACTAAAGGGCTTATTAAGATTGAAGTCTACCGTAAACAAAAAAAGGTAATTTGTAGAGGATTTTATTTGTTGATAAAACGATTTTAAGAAGGCTACCGACTAAATATAAAAATTTTCAAATATGTATGTGCAAACGTAAATGGAAATATCTTTCTTTAAATAAAAACAAAATGATGTAATATCTACAATGGCACTATGTCTAATCCATTACATAAATATAAATACACTAAACATCCCGATTAGATTCTTGATGGATTTTAATAATTTTACACTTTTTTACACGATTATATATACAGAGTAACTGGGAAAAATATAGACATCGGTAGGATGCGACATTCGATCCAGTTTGCTGTTTAAATTCCTTTTTAAATCATTGTAAAAGATTTATAACAGTAGAATAGTGAAAATGGGAATACCAGTTCAATAATTATACAAACAAACAAGATATATATAGGAGACCTGACGTTTTCTGCCCTATTGCTATGACTAAATGACTGCTAAAATATAAATAAGTAATTACTTGGCAAAGAAGAAACCAACTTTTTGGTATCGCTAAATATTCAAGAAAATTTACCATGTAGGAAAATATGTACAAATGTAATTTTCTATTATACCATAGTGAAATTTCAAGTAATAATAATGCAATAGTAATAATTAATAACTTAAAATATCGCATCCTAAAATCGAATTCAGTTACGCATATATAAAGCAAGACTAATGCCATTCTTAAAGATCAATATATTTACAAAAAAAATTCGAACTATTTACAAATTAAATAATGCTCCCTCAACAATATAATTGTAAACTAATCAGCTCATACAATTTGAGATCGACCAAGCCTTCAATAAATTTGTTGAACTAATGTAGGATCAGCAGATTAAAAGAAAATCCGACAATCAAATAGTTTTACAGCCATCGAAATCAACATAAAGTTTTGTTAGCGCAAATCTTAACCTTTATTTTTTTACTTAACACTTTCGTATAGCTTATCTCTAAGGCATTTGATTTTGTTGACAAAGTACGCTTCGAGTGATTCCGCGCACTTAAAGAACGGAGATTCTTTGGGATTGTAATATCTACAGTTATCAAAAATTTTAGTCATATCCCCGATAAATTCGCTGAGTTTCGTGTAGACCTGATCATTGATTTTGTTCTCGATCATCTGTAGATCTAAAACGTTAATACGGTCGAATTAGCAATCACTCAATTAATATTGCGCAGTGTTCTGTATGGAATTTGACTTACCCATAGGTTCTTTGATGACTTTATAGTAATCTGGCGCTTCCGTTGGGTCGACGGGTTCCATAAAGGGCCATGCACTTTTATGCATCTGAAATATTCATTAACGTGTAAAAATTCAGTTTTTGTTAAAATCAAAATTCAAACAAATGTGAGGTTTCAAGACAGTCAAGACCTAAAATAATCTAATGTTTCCCAATTATGGGTTTATGTTGATTGATGTTATTGTTTATGTTGTCTGATAATAGCGCTGTTGTCACGCCCAAACGTTATATGAAATAAACGATATGAACATTTTTATTTCACATTTTGACTGAAACCCAGGAAAGAAAAATATAATAACAGTTAAACTAGATTACGACCCATTGGGTAAGCAAATAATGGAGTAATAAATTTAAACGGCTGGTATAGATAGTCGTCCTTAGACGTTTATGTCACATAGTAACTTTTAAACTAAATATAGCATAAAGCCTACATTTGGCATCTCTAATAACTCAGTGACGTTAGCACTCTTAATCCTTTCAAACACCTAAAATTTGGAGAGGAAACGCCCAAAATAATTTTTTATGTAAGTAGTTACCTGCCTCAAACAGCAATTACCTTCACATAGTTCAGTAAGTGAGAACTGCAAAGTTTTGTGCTCACTTTCATATTTACCTGTATCTGTTTAATAAGCTTCTTCAGATTCTCAAAGTCCTTGTGCGTCAAATCCTTCATATTAACATAATTAACCGAGCTATTTTTCTGACAACGAGGACACACGTATTCGTCAATGTTGTCTGCTTCAGATTGTAAAATTCCAACGCATCGTCCATGGAACCAGTCCTGGCAGTTATCACAACATATATAAAACCTGCAAACAAAGATATCTTTAATAAGTTTGGGCTTTAAATGGAATGGTAATATTGACCGAAATGTTGTAAAAATGTTAACAATAAACACACTGGAATCAAATTGCTATGCAAGAGCAAAGCAATGAATCATCGGAAGGGCGAACATGCAAATGATTAAATGATCATGTTTATTCTGTACTGCACTGTATCATTGTGGCCCTTATGGCAAGTGTGGTAGCAAAAGGATGGGACGCCAACTTGCAGAAAGCTGGTAAGAATTATCTCTAATCTATAAATCTTTTACCATAAACTGAGTTTAGTTTTCCGACAAGCAACTGAAGTTTTATGGATTATTTACATTTCTCTCTTTGCCTTGTTGATTTCAAATAAGTTTGGCTTTGGACAGATTTCCTCCAACCCAACGATTATTGCAACAAACCATTTCGGCAACACTGTGCCAACTCCTGAATTTTAACTGAGTAACCCATGCCTACTTTGAAGTCAGTTGTTCATGTTCATCTTAAAATGCGTTGCATCTGCGACGCATCACTTTCGTTTCCGAAAGACACAAAAGTATGTCCTGCTTTTTTTTTCATGCGATTCTACTTTGATCTTAACATGGATGATTTTTAAATGTTTAATATTTTGTGCATTTATTGATGTAAAATTGACGCTTAGATCATAACAAAAACCTTCCACTTTTCAAAGTAGGTACTTTCATACAAAAACTGCAAATTTTAGTCATGTAAGTATAGAATATTTAAATGAGTACACGCTAAATAATGAAGCCCTTTTAGACCATGAAATTGTGCCCATCAGGGTGATGCAGAATGTTCATTTTCCAATATTTAAATTTGTTAAATAACGCAAATTCACTTACTGTGAGTCGTCGTATGGTTGCTGGCACAGACAATACAACTTCTGTGTTTCCCGCGCCTGTTTGCATTCTTCGCACACAAACTCAGTCAAACTCTTACTGCTTTCTTCCGTAATGTCAACACACTCTCCGTGAAACCAGTTGTTGCACAAGTCGCAACCCACGTAAAACTTGGTTTCGTCGTAAGGCGTTCGACAGATGCAGTATACCTGAAGCAAATATAAAAGACCAATATAGCAAGTGTTCACTGATAAACTGGGTATCACGCACCTTTTCCTTTTTAAGTTTCCCATGAGCAGACGAATTAGGAGAGGCATGAGGCTTGGGGTTCTTCTTGTTCCTGCCAAACGGCTGTTTGTGAACAGGAATAGCAGGTGTTGTGGCGGTAGGCGTTGACTTTCTTTTACTACTGCCTGTTCGCACTTCGTCCTGTTTAGATCTTTCGATTTTCGTTCTGGCTGCCAGCTCATCAGCCACCTCTTTCTGAATTTACAACAAATTATCAGGCATGCAACACTTGTGTCCTCCAGTCAGCTTACCTGAATCTCGTATTGCAGTTCTTTTTCCAAAAGAGCTCGCTTGCGCAGAATGTCCTTCTTAAGAAGCTCCTTCTGGCGATACAACGTTACCATCACTTTGGCTTTCAAGTTGGATAAACGATCCGGGGTTTCTTTGGGCTTGGTTCGTGACCTGGGCGACAAGAGCTTCTCTTTTACAGGTTCTGGTCTATATTGCGAAAGATACAAAAAAATCACGTTTGTTCAGCGCATTCTCTAGATATTTCCTGATTGGGGATATTAAAAAACTTTATGAATACTTACTGTACAACGATTTCAGGCTTCCTGACCTCATTAATTTTACTAGGTCGACTACGTTTCGGTTGTTCCATCACCCAATCGGCATCATCATTTTTCGATGTGCTGGGGGGTCGTTTCCGAGCAGCGGGCGGAAATCGGTTTATGGACGCCACTGGCGTACTTGAAACCACTCTCACTACTGGAGATGGAGAGTCCGGCTCTTGCTTCATCTGCTTCTCCTGGAATCGTTGTAGCTGCAGTAGCTTCTCCTCGATTTCCGGATTAAGGTTCTCTTGCTTTAAAGCGGTTTTGATTGCTGTAAAGGTGTCAAAGAAATCAACAGGTAAACATAATCGGGGACAATAGCTGAGGATAGACTAGCTTCTGTCCGAAATAAAAATAAGCAAAAAAAGCGGGGAATAACCCAAAGCAAAACGACGGCAAAAATAATGATAAAACTTAGAAGTGCAAGGGTTTCGAAAGATAAAAAAAGTCCAAGCTCAGTTTTATAACAATTTATTACATAAAATTTGGATACAACTAGTTACATTTTACATAAAATTTTGTAACTATATAGATTTAAACACAAAAGCTTCCAAACGCAACAAATTGGTTGTTCATTAGAAATAGGTTTCAACCAAAGTAATCGGGTGGAAAACAAAATAGACTGATAAAAACTCAGAACAATGAGAGTCAATTTGGAAACCTTTGCTTCGAATTAACCCTTGCATTTCTATGAATATCACCATCAAAAACATTGAGTATTGAAAAATTGTTATCAAAAGTTGAATAATGTACTTGTATTTGTACTTGTGCTGTATTTTTTAAGTTAATAAATAATAATATAAATATTTACTGAACAGTAAATTCTTGCTCATTTTTGAAGCTATGAAAGTGTAATTTTTATTTGGGTACCGCTGTACAACATGTAAAAACCATCCACCTGGTACGTTTAATAGAGAAATGTAAATGAGAAAAGCACCAACAACAGTCAAATAATTTCAAATTACTTGGCGCATATTTGAGTGTATAGATTTGCATTGCTAAGGATCAAATCATGGACAAGATAGTAAACAGTTGAGCATCGATCAATTACGAAATCAAGTACCAGTTAAAATTAAAATATCCAGCGTTAATAAACTTTCAAAAATAAACACTTTTGGGGTTGCAAAATCTCTGAAAGTCGGTTAATAATTTTATTAGATATACTTTTATGAACAAACGTTATACGTTAAATTAAAAAAATATATTTCAACTTTCTGCTGACGGGATGTAAGAAACAGATTGAAAATCGGATGGTAGGCTGCAACCACTTTAATCTTAATAACTTAAAAATTTTCCAGCATTTTATGATGATTTACGCCCTAATCTGCGTAGTGCGTAGTAATGTATAATGATCAGAAACGAGTCAGACAATAATGTTAAATGAGCTTTAAGCGATAAAAATTGAGAAGTCGACAACTGGTTTTTTTGCGACTGTATAGCAGTTTTTGATGATGATTGTAAACAGATAATGATAAAAAACTTAGCCTAGAAATTTTGAATATGAACAATGCTATGAGACTTTGTTAAAATGACTAGCTTGGAATGTATTAAAATGGAGTAGAAAACCCCGAGTTAGTCCAAACAAACAACACAGCCAACATAATACATTAAAACATGTACGATTTAAAATTAGATGCAGGAGTGACAAAATTTTAAACGTGCATTTAAAAGCCGGATTTGAATATACTCTATATTTGATGGAGCTATTTAACTTGAGTTTGGGAAGCATTTAATGAAATTTTTGGAATAGATGACCCCCACAACTTATTGATTAAAAATGCCACGAACTGCGAATGGTAAAAAACGAAAGTTTACTCAGCCCCACATTAGATTATTTCCTATCCGTAGGCTCCAGCAAAACTTTATTAAAATTTCTTTTTATCCCTAGCAATCCTTAATTTCAAGTCTTTAATCAATAATACTGTCACTCGGTTTAAAAGCTAAAAACCCTCTACTTGGTGTAATACCGTATGCAACCAGTGTCGTTTTGCGTTGGGTAAGCACAATTAGGATTATATACTATAACAGAAGGTTGATAAACTAACATACTTTGCTGTATATAGTCTGGCGTCACAACAAACTGCTTATTCGCATCGCCACTGGCTGTTGCGCCCCCACCTGCTCCCGAAGCCTTACTCTCCATTTTAGCCTTCATGACCTGCAGGAGTGTGGAGGTTTGAGACTGCTGTCCATTGGCATGCACTTTTGCAACATTGCCAGGCTCGCCAGCCTGTAATGTGCATTAAAACTTAGCCTAAATTCGGAAACGGACGTATCCAATTTATAACACCTTGGGATACATTCACATTCACAAAAAAAACTGTAATTAATCTGGACTGGGAACATCGTTTGAAATTGTATCGATCGTCCCCAAACTCTGGATAAAAACGCGAGTGTAAAATGTAAAAACATACTTAAATTCGTTATTCCTTTGCCCTAAATATATCCTTATGCAGGACTGGCAAATGAAATAAGTACTTTCGACTATATGAGTGGAATAAGGCAGAACCATAACTGAAACAATTTATCGCATCGCACCAGACGAAACGAATTTAATCAACGGAATGTTTAAATGAGTTGACGCGTATATATACGCACCCCTATGTCAGTCATTTATATCATTTAGCACGTACTGAACAAAAGCGCGTTTACTTGTTAATACCTGGATTAGAAAGGGAATAAACACGCCGGAAGTTTTAAATTTAATTTTATTTAACATTTTATCGGTAACTAAAAAAATTCAAACAATTCAATTTGAATGAATTGAAAAAACAAATCGTGATCATATCAATGAAAAAACCGTGTTATAAAATAAAATATTTTTTTAAAACTGTCTCAGTGCATCAAGGTTTTGCATACCTGAACTAGCGGTTTGGAAGCGCCAACGACCAGCTGCTTTAAAGGACTTTGCTGTAACTGTTCTTTCGCGGGACTTTGTTGTACTGGAGTTAAGGGTGGCGGATTAGTGGGAGACTCGCCGGAAGCCTCAGGCTGGCTAGGTTGGACAGCTAGGTAAATCTTCGTAGGACCCAGGACCCCCTGTTTACCAGTCGAAGCTTGTGCTGAAAGCGAAACATAGATTAATTATTGTGAATTTGAATTAATTATTTTTGAATTTTAATTCTCATTAATGAGCACAGACACTACTGAAACACGTAAGTACTTTCATAAATGTTCGTCTTACCTTTCAGCAACTGTTGCTTAACTTGTTGCTGGACAGCCGCGAGTTGTTGCGGCGTAAAGTCAGCCCCTTGTAATCCTTGCAGGACGATTCTGGGCCCCTGTTGTGTCTGGATAACCTGTGCAGTAACGCATTTGATTACAGTACCGGGCGGTTGTCCAGCCAACAAATGATCCATAGTAGATTTGTCAACTGTTTGATTGTCTGCTTGTGCAGCTTTCTGTGCCGCTTGCGCCGGTTGGGGCGTGGGACTCGTTGACTGAAAATTATCGTTTAGATGTCGATCATGTGATGTAGTTTCATATTTAAAATCTACTTACAGCCACTGGAACTGCAGCACTTTGCTTAACAGGGGTAGCAACAACGGTTCGTGTTGGGGTAGCAGTTTGATTGGTTTGACTACCTGGCACAGTCTGGGTAATGCTGCCTGGAGTGAGCTGAGCTATAACCTGAGCTTGATTGTTACCAGTAGGTCGAATTAGCACTTGCTGTCCATTAACAGTGGCAACTTGCACTTTGCCTGAAGCTAATTGTTGCGCTAAATTCGGATTGTTGACGACTATTTGATTCGTTATGACCTGTCCAAGAAGAAAGTAAATATAAATTACTCGCCTCACTGTTGGTGAGTACACAACATCGTACTTAGTGTTGGAAAGAATAGAATTATTCTGCATGACAGAAAAGACAAAACGCCACAAAACTGGTGCAGCATTTTTGTACTCTCATAAGAACATAAGGCAAAAAACTAACAAAAACTAAAAAAGGTGCCGGCCTTGCTCGATGTTTTATGCTCTTCTGAACTATTGACAAACGCCAAAAAACTTGTCGAGCTTGTAACGCGGCAGATTGACTAACGAGCTTGCTGCGAACATCCTAGACTAGTCTTGTTCATCTAACAATAAAGGCTCGCGACGAGTAACCACAAACTTAAGAAGAAGGGTGTCTGACGGCGAAGAACAAATGGCTGCTCGGCTAATTTTGTGCAGTTCCTGTTCTCATTATGTTCTTTTTCTTTCTGCAGTTCGCTAATAAAGCTGATCATTTTCGTAGTACTTGCCTCGACCGATTCTCCAACGGCTGAACCAACTTTCTTAACCATAGCTAACGATGGTTATACACTGATCACGTCATACACTTGCTTCAAACTGAATTTTCATCTAGCCTACCACAAACCCGTACCATTAGACTCGGTAATTACTTGCTTTATGCCATTTTATTCCCTTCTGCTTCTAGGCATATTGGACAAATTAAAGAACACTATTTAGAAACACTGTACGCCAATAAAAGGCATTCTGGGCCCCATAAGGTTGTTGTTGTTTTGAAAAACAACATTTGTTGCCAGTGAAAAAGATAACGTAAACATACTGATAGCGCAGAAGTTCAACGCGAAACATGGTTGAAAAACGGACAGTTTATAGTATCGATATACACATCCATGTATAACAAACATGCATGCCAAAAATAATTTAAATAAAACAATTTTTCGACGTGCTCTCTTTTCTGTCACGCAGTATAGTTCGATCAACATTAAAAATGTCTTGAATTTGTTACACACCATAGTTATTTCACATTGGCGTACTAAACAATTACTATTTCGATTAGTAATCTCCCAACTACAAGAACACTGCGATTATTCCCATTGCTAATCGTACATACCTGTTGGCCTCCCTGAGTCGAAATCATCTGATTGGCGCCAACCACAACTTGCGGAACTTGCGAAGTGCTGACTGCCACGCCGGCCTGGGCAATCTTCTGAAGCACCTGTCCACCCTGCTGCTTGATCAGTTGCGCCTTGGGTGCTAATGAAGTCTGGGATTGCACGACTTGAGGAGCCGGCGAATTGATCGGCTTCAGCTGGGTCAGTTTACCTACCGGAGTAGAAGTGGTAATAGCTGGTTTAGTAACCTGCGGCTTTACTGGCGTAGAAGTAGGTGTGGGTTTGGTTGCAGCGGCCGGAGTGGACGACACTTGAGTAGTGGTCAGAACCTGCAGCTTTCCATCTGGAAATTGGACTAATTGTTGTCCAGGCATCAAGCCTTTCACAGTTATTCGACCATCGGGTGTTCGCATAATTTGAACTCGCTGAGGATCTTTAGCCGGTGTAGTTGGTGTGGATGTGGTTACAGATGATGTGGTTGCTACTGCGTAAAGCAAATACGTTCAGTACCAAACCACCGGAAGGTTGAACGAAGTAAAAATATTTACCTTGTTGTTGGCCTGGCGATTGGATTACTTGCTGAATATTCGGCAACTGTTGAGTAGTATGCAGTTTAATTAGACTCTGTTGTGGAGTTTTCGTCACTAGAGAGGTACCAGGCGAGCCGGTCACTAAGCGCGTTTGTCCATCAGGTCCTTTGGTCATTAAGATTCGTCGGCCTGCAACTTTGTTGCTACCCGTCAAAAGAGATGTAAGTGTATTTTTCCCTCCTATAACAGCTTGTGTTGGTACCACGACATTCTTCACTAATTTTACAGTTCCATCTGCAACAGTCACTAAAAAATTATTGCTGGTCTAAACTAATCGCGATTAATGCTTAAAGTCAAAGAGTTAATGCAAAAGAGCATGTACAGCGGATTAAAATTGGGGTTGAAAGAGAGCATACATTTTATTACTAATGGGCTAGCTGCACGGTTTTCTTTAATATTTTTAATTGAATTGTTATAATCCCCTCAGAATCCCCCCTTGTTTTTTTTTCAGTTTTAGTTTCGCTTCTGTTGAAACTTCTTGGCGTGAAATCCACGCAAAAACGGACCTTCCCGATTTCCTTATTTGTCTCGTAACTTAACGATGTAAATTAAGTTAGTTGCAAAAACAACATTGATACATTTATCAGTTATCAGTTTCCCAAATAAGCGCAATTGCACAACTATACCGATGCATGCAGATAGTCTATTGAATTAGATAAGACAGTATTAAATTCATAATAGAAAAAGCTGTTTCAGTTTCCAGTAGGTGTATATCAATTACGTTCTTCCAGGAGTAAAGAAAATCAAATACGTCGTAATAGCTGGGATATAAATATTGGGTTGTTCGGAGTCATTGCGTTTTTTTTTTGTCAAAGGATTTAATCGTATTTTTTCGCACTCAACTTCACATTTAAGCCGCATAATCGTTATATGTTTTGCGAGCTAAAATAGCAAGGCTTGTGTGTGAGAAAGTCCAATTGATTATACTCAGTCGCTTTTGGATGGTGCTCTTTTAAATATGAAGAGCGAAAGGCAGCATATTCGCCATATTTTACTTCTTTAAAAGGATAAAAATGCAGTTCAAGCCAGAAAGAAATTAATATGTATAAGAAGATGTATGGGCAGTACGCCAGTGCCCGAACTTTGGCAGGGGAATTTTGCAAAATCCGTTCTGGAGGGCCCGTTGAAACCAATAAAAACACAATAAATGCATTAGTTGATGGAAAGCAGCGAATAATAACACGTGAAATCAGTGAGAGTAGAGTAACTTCATTATCAAATTTATGAACCACTTGAAATGCCTAGGTATAACGTCGATATATGTTGTCGCGGGGAGAAAACTGTAATTCGCTTTTCACGCAGCAAAAATGGTCCATTTTTAAGCGCATTATTACCAGAATGAAAATTTAGCTTATATAACAATGCCAAGGGCAAGATATCATAAACCAAAAATATAAACCAGTCCAAAGCATTACGAATTCAATATCGATCAAAAAGAGGTGATGTTGAACGGGTTTCAAAGAAATCGTTAGAAAGTATACTATTGGCAGCTGTACCAACGGAATGGTGCGCTTCAAATGGAAAGCCCAGAATTAGCCAACAAAAAATGCGTGTCCACCACGATGCGAAACCTCATACAAGTTCGGACACACGACAAAAGCTTATACTTTGAATGATCAGATCCAACATCTTCCGATTATTTGTTCTGGTCACTGCAATTTTTTAAATAAGGAATCATGCTATTGCCAGAAAGTTGGCAAAATTATTGGACCAGAATGGGCAATATACATAGGTATGTATAATTTAATAAAATATTCATTTATTGTACGAAAGTTGTCTTAATTTTTCTTAAAAAGAAACGAAATTACTTTCCAAATAACCCAATACCTTATTCGTACTTTCAAATATGAAACAACAACAAAAAACATCACTTCAAACATGTGGAAGAGACATTCAAACGTTTTTTAAGTGAACATTGAAAAAAGGTTCCTCCAACCACTTTACTGAGCATCTATGAAAAGAGAATAAAAACTCGAATAAGATATTAGGTTCTTTACTTTAATCTAAAATAGAAATACATCACAAGAAAAGAATTAATTTGGATGCCAGTACTATGTGCGAATATACTGTTTCAGTTGACTTCGAGCATTCTACAAGCATCAAAGAAAAACTGCTTAACTAAGTAAAATAAATCACGATAGACGACATGTAGTGGACAATTATCAGTACGAAAATCACCTGAATAAGATAACGGGGCCCCACTAATATTTTACTTTAAGGTGTATGAAAAAAACAGCTTAAAACAGATACAATGCCGTGTTTACAGATCAAATCTATAATTGGCGTGGTTATCTTATCTTCAAGTTATTAATAAAAGCAACATAGCTTCTAATTCAAGCCCTATGGCGATTTGTACATAAAAATGCGGCAAGAAACCAATAATTGGAATTCATGCATTTTAAAGATCAAAAGAAATTAATCCAACCAAAAAAGTAGTCTAAATGACCAACCCTACCTTTCGGTTGAATCGGTTTTAAGGAAGGATTACTGCTAGTGGTAATACTTGACTTTTCCAAACTAGCAGATGTACTAGAAGTGGAAGTAGACACAGTAGCTTTTCAAAAGAAAAATCAATTACTAGCTTGATTACAAATGTGTGATCGCAACCATTATCTCAATCAAGTCGCAGACATTTCCCCTAAACGTAAACGGGTCAATACTTACATTGAGTGGTCGTCCCGATCCCATCAATTGGATTCTTAACGTGGAGAGTCTTCACTTCTAGAGCTCGTTTCTGCTGGTGGGCAGCACGTTGCATCCGCAACTGTTGCTCCATCTTTTCTTTAATCTCTTCGGGGGTGGCTTTATTGTTGACGGTCACTTTGCAGTCTCCGACCTCAATTGAACCCTGCAGGGAAGGTCTTGGTGGCGGTAGATTGCCAGTTCGACTCCTAGTCACAACTTGTTGATTCACTTTCTCCACCCTGAATAATAAAACAGACAGTTAGTCAAAAGAACGCCATTTCAATTACATTGAAACAACTCATATAAATTGAGCAAACTAAACGTACTTTTCTCCATACTGCTTGATTTCCCACAGCTCCAACTTATCCTCATCCACCCATTCCTCCGATACTTGCGGATCCATAGATTGTGGCGACTCGGGTCGTTTCCGCTTTCTCAACCCGCTTCTGATCGATGTTACTTCTCGAACAGTTTTGGGAAGCTCCAAGGGGATGACTACTTTTCTTCGTAAGTACTGGGTTTTCTCAAGGAAATGGCCGATGTGTCGGTGCTTCAGAAGTTCTAATGAAAGTATTTCGGTTTCAGTAGTAATTTGATGTTTTCCTTCGGTGTTTGGGGGTTTGGTCTGCATATCGTCCCATCGTAGAGTTGCCCATAATATTCGCAGTTGCAGCGCTGCGCCTGCTAAAGACTTCAAGTTGATTGTACGGTAAATCCAACATGTTTTAAACAGCGGCCTGGCACACGGATATGGCCAAACTGAATTGTTTTGCTTGGCCATGATATGGTAACCGGGAACTTGAATTCTTCCGGCATTTCTCGCCAATTTTCTGGCATCGTGTTGAGGAAGCACAAGTAAGGAAGACACTCCCTTTCTCGCCTGGAACGTGGAAGAAACAGGATACTTAACAATCTGGCGCTTCTTTCGGCGCAAGTCAACTTGATTTGGAATCTTCTTGAGGAATATTTTGCCTTCTGTAGATGTTGTTGAATAAATACGCGGACTACCGTCTTCAGCATGTTCAGTTTTTGCCACTTTTTCCTCCTTCTTAACGCCCACACGGTGACCACAAAATCGTCGATTCTGTTGTGCAATATAAGTAGCAGATTTTGCATTGCGCGTTTTTATGCTGTGTCCAGAACCGTTTGCAGACTGCACTGGCACAGAACTGGACACATTGAGGTTCTTGAACTTGCCATCAGTAGATCTTGTTACCATTGCTGAAGGGGTTGTAGTAGTATCATTAGATTTGGATTTCAAAATATCCCTTATCGCATCAGTACCGACATCCTTCATATCAACATCCTGGCTCTCATCATTTTCAATTTCCGGCTGCTTTTTCACTGGAGGCATTGTGCAGGTCACATCAATATCCATGGGTTCATCTTTAAGCTCAAAATCCCTATAAGCGGTTTCGTTTTTCACTTCCGTCTTGACCTCTTGCTTTGCAACAGATGCTTCCTTAACCGGAATATAGACGTTCTGCTTAGATTCATCTTCGGCACTTTCAGCAGTTAAAACGGCATTTACCAAGTCCTTACATATATTGGCATTAGAGTTTTTCTTCTCCTCTTCGTCTTCTTTGTTTCCTAAGGACGCAGCAACTGATGCTTGCGGTGATTTTAGAGTCTGTTCTAAAATTGAAGTTTTCTTCACTGGGGTGAGTATTTGGCCACCAACAACCTTCACAGAGCTGGGACTGTTGGATGCGAGATTTGCCCTCCTCAATAAAGTCAAAAGATCGCGACGAATTTTCACTCTTTGAGTGCAAAGAGGAGAATAACAAGTATTTTCCAATTGATGGTTGCTGGCAGAATTGCATCCCTTAGCGTAACACTGAAAGTCTTTGGCAACTTTAGAAATCGCCGAATACTGCGTTCTAAGATTATTAATTCTCTTCGCTATACTGTTAATAACCTCTCGATTAACCACTGGCGTAGTCGCGTTCGACACAGCAACTTTTCCAGTTAACATGGTATTGAGCTGCTTCTCAATACCATCAGACGGTGAATCCTCTTCGCCTTCCACATCAGCATTTTCTTCTTCTTTTGCCACTGATTGTTCCCCACCTGGCTTACTTTGTGAAATTTTCCTTTCTTCGAGTATTTTCAATTGCGTCCGTCTTCCGAGCAGCTCATCCAAGACTCCCTTTTTACCCACTTTGGGGTACAATAAACGCCCTGGAGTAGTCAACGCTTTGGATACATCAATTTCTTGAAATTCGTTTACTATTGGGATTATTTCTATGTTCTTTAACACTTCTGGAAAGCTTTCTTCGATTTTCTTGTCAGCTTCACTAACTTCCTTATTATTATCCCCTTCTGAATTTTCTCCATTATTCAATTTGTTCATTAAGAATCTGTACATATTGGGACTCAAAGAAACAATTTTCTTTTGACCTGCCTTGTCCTTGATTTGAAGCATATATCTTTGAGGATCTCCAAAAAGTCCCTGTTTCTTTGAATCAACAAGTTTGAAATTCCTGGGTATTCTCATCCATAGCCAACCCCATCTACCATGAATTCGGTACTCTTCACCTTTTTGCTTCCATAGCTGGTGTTTGAAACCCATCGTATACTTCACATAACCAGTGATGATGAGTCGGTTTCTTTCTTCTTCTTCCTCGCGGTCTTTTTTTTCACGTTTTTCCATTTTCTTGCGCTCTTCTCGCTCTTGAGCGGTGATTCTTGACAATTTTGTGTGTCCTAGCTGATCGTGCCAAACATTTGCAAAGCAAACCGATTTAATACATGCTTGCAACACAATTAGGGATTTAACACAGTCTTTGGAAGATTGACAACCGCTAACAATATTCAACCAATGTTTTCGCACCAAGTTCCAGTTTGGGTGCATAAATGGGGATGGAGTCACTTGCTCCAGTTGTAAGATGGTATGCTTGAAGGTGTTCATTAATAGAACTTGTGATCCATTGGTGCCACCTATCCACTTAAACTCCGAAGCTGGAGTCAAAGAAAATTTATGTGATAAGTGTCGCTTCTTGTCTCTTTCCTCGTTTCTTTGGGGCTTGTTTAAGGCGATTACGTTGGTAGTAAACTGGTTGACGTAGCTCTTGAAAGTATTTTCCATTCCTAATTTGAACAGATACGTTCCATTAGCCATTTGAGTGGATCGCAGTCTGGTTAGGCGTGAATCATCCTTTTCATCGGAGATAATTGTTTTCTTTTTAAGTTCATCCAGGTTGTGTGCACGTGAAGTTGCTGGACTGCTTTTTAGTCGGCTTGAGGGATCTTTGTTTTTATCATCATCGTTATCGCCTTCTGATCCCTTCTTATCGACAGAATTGGTTTCTTCAGACCCCACATCTGATGAGTCCACACTAGTGGTTTCAGTTTCACCCTGTGGTACAGCTGAATTTTTCGGATCATCTTCATGCATTTTGGCCACCATATCTTCAGCGTTTTGTCGACCTTTCTCCTTTGTATCCTCTTCCGATTTTTCTTCGCGTTCTTTAATTTCCCGCAAAATTGCAGAATTTTCAGCGTCCAAATAGGTCTTCTTATTGGCTTTCAACTGATTGGTCAGCGCATCCGTCAACTGCATTTGCCTCACGATTTCGTCTTTGAACTCCTGCAGTTCTCGATAAAGGTGATTCTCCATCTCGTCTCTATCTAGACAATTGAGCAATTCTTCAAATTGGATTGGTATCGTGTAGTACCAGACTTCACCATCTTGACTTTCCCTATAAGCAAGAAACACATATAAATTAAGTAAATTAGTGAGATTTTACGGTTAGTTGCAAAACTTACACAAAAATTCTCCGACACAAGAAGTAGTATTTCCTACCATGCCTGTCGTATCCTAATGGTTCTTGTCTGGATAGTTGTCCTTGCTTCTCCACATCCAGGATACAGTCCACTACACCGGACACTTTATGCGATCGGCAAATTCCACATTGCCAGTCTTCTTCAGGTACATTGACTAAGGGGGGATCCACGCACTCCAAGTGATACACTGCTGGACAGGTTTCACAACACAAAAGATCCCCCAACTTGTGACAGACTCGGCAGTGATCGTCATAGTGCATGGGAACTGAAATAAATTGATTTAATTTTAAATGCCGAAGATGCACAGTATTTGCATTGAAATTGTGTTTTTCTACGGGATTACTAGAAATATAATGAATAAACACAGCGCGGCAAAAAGTCGGAAACGAAGAAGTCATTGAAGGTGCAATGAAATTTGCGAAAATTGATGAGAACATAATAAAATCAAGCGAATCTAAATGACTGCTTTTAAATTTGAATGATTCCAATAAATATGCTGCGAAAAGAAACAGGTATTGCATAAAAAGAACGAAACAAGTCAAAATCGAAAATGCAGCGGGCATTAAAAAACAACTGTCTAACATACGAGAAGTGTGAACACCAGTGGTTGTAGGACGCAATCATTTAATAATCTTTAAACTAGTATGTACTGAAATATTTTAGTTAACATGAGATTATCCATTATGCATTTTCCAGTAGTATGCGATTGTAATAAAAAATTTAATGTACCTACTATTATTTCTAAATTGAAACGAGTGGCAGGGTAATAAGTGTTTAAAATGAGCAAAGAATACACATATTAGAGTTTTATAACTCTGCATTAAGTAATTAATTATACATATGTATATGAATTATAATTTCTAAGAAAAATGCTGCACAAAGCATTAAAAATATTACACTGGGTGCTGCTTAACATAATTCCAAAAGCGCATTCTTATACTAAATCCAAAAGAAAAGTTCATAAAAATATGTATGTATTCGATTTTGTTAAAACTTGGCTCTGTTGTCTATCTCTGGGTTAATAACATTAACATTAACGTTTTGTGGGTCCGACTGACAATAATTGAAAATGTTTGTATTTTTTTTCGATTTAAACAGCAAAAATACAATTCAGCTGTCAAATAAAATCACGATAACTTTGCTCGATGTACAGATTGTATTTATAAGTCATTTTAAAATTCCAAAAATGTCATAGAACATGCCTACAAAAACAATATTTGAATTACTGAATAAAAAACAATTTTTTTCTAGTTTTAACACCCTGTATCGCAAAAACCTGACTTTTTTGGTATATATGTATGCGAACTTTTCTAATTGAATTTGCATGAAGTTCACTAACGAAATGGTTCCTTTCATCAAACAATCATTTAAATTATAAAATTTACTTGAATCATCCTCAATGTTTTTTTCGAGGATACAAGAGTTTCGGTTAAGTAAATGAGTAAGGAATGAAATGGAAAGCACTGATGAATCATTTAGGATTAAACACAGTACAAGTTAAGAGGCTGCACTAGATCTCATGGTGGCATAAATAAGGACAACTTTTACATGTTATAATCTTCATGCATATAGGTAGTTATCAGCCGAATTTGCGATCCAACCCCTAAAAATGCTGCTCTATCAGTGTGTCTTTATTTGACATATTTTATCTAACTGGTTGAAATCAGCATCATCTGTAAATAATGCCTCACTTGAGGTTTACCAGGTAAATATATTAGAATACCGCTACCCTAATTCTGATAACTCGTAATTCACAGAAAAATGTAAAATGTAATTTTTGCGTCAAAAACAAGAAATCGTACATTACTGTATGGTGAACACATAAGAAATAATAACAATAGAGAAATAAACAACAGTTAAACATTAAAAAATTAAACATAACACGAACAAACATTTATAAGCTGTTTTTGTGTACAGGAGACACCAATTTATTATATTGGTTTGCGACGTATCACCGTTAGGGTATCAATATGCTAATTTATGTACGTTTGATTGTTTAGTATACAAAGTGAGCGCCTTTCTATAAAATTGAAGTCTAAAGATAAATTACTTGCCTTGAACTATTGAATACTCTGAATATATTTATTAAATAGGTGATCTAACGAGGAGTTCGCCCTGTAGATGGTATGTTTGATTAATATTGTATTTAACACCCTTTTCCTCTGATGCGATACAGTGAAAATCGAAGAGTTGTCCACGCTATTCTCTAGTTTTATGCAGGAAAAGCTCAGTTATTTTCCAATATTAATGAAACTTGATGTCAGAACATAATAAGAGTACTAGCACTTTATACTTGCTTCCAGTGAGTGTTCGAATCAAGAAAGAGCTACTTAAAATTTTCGATGGATGAAAAACTATGGCTGATTAAGTTCAGTTCATCACTAATAAAGGACGGATTAAAATTACCAAAAATGTAATCTTGCAAAAATGTTTTTTATCAAACAAGTGAAAGTCATGAATTATCAGAGAAAGCTTAATGAGTACTCACCTTCACTCAGCAAATCATCCCGAACAGGGTTGGTGATAAGAAACTGATCAGTAAGAAATAGAAGCACTTTGATACGATTTTCCAACGTTGTAAATGGATAGTTCGAGTTGCTTAATATTTGTAGCACATTTTGGTCAAATCCCTTATCACTCTCCACATAAGACCTTAGAATTTCTGGGTAGGTAATATTGTCAATTAGATACAAGGCTATGTTGATACTGTCTTTTTGATCTAATGGTCCAAAATGGGTCTGTTGTGAGTCTTCTTCCCGAAGAAGGGATTTAAGTAGCATAATGTGAATTTCTGAAAGCAGACTGCTCTGGTCTTCGCAAGCAATAGCAGCACAAAAGTCTTCTAGTCTGAAGGGAGACAGCCTTACGAGGTTTCTGAAATGCCTCAGGACTTCATAGATGCTTAAAATGCTCATCACATGTTCCTTGGGAACCAGCAAATCTTCTGAGGATTTTGGTAGATTTAGTGACGGAATCTCACGGTTTTGGAGCCATAACGGTTCAGGTGTTGGTGCCCTGGTTAGGGTAAGATTTTGCTTTCTAGGTGTGCCACTAAATGTACTATAGCTGCTAAGGGAAAAGTCACTATCACTACTGGGTCCCCTCACAGACTCCTCATCGCTTTCACTCAAAACCTCATCCTCAATTTCACTCTTATCACTATCGTCGTCCCCAAAATCCGAACCGTAGTGGTATTCAGAATCATGGTAATCGTAACCCGTATTGTAGCCTCTTCTTTGGTAAGCTGAACCAGCTGATCCAGCTTTTCGACCCGCTCTGTGCCCATCTTTTCCCCTGATTCTGGTACTGCTTCTCCGGGATTCGCTTTCCTGTGGAGATGAGGCTCTAGAAGCGGAGGGAGTGCTAGACTGCGAGTCTGTTTCTTTTCTAGGGTAATTCAACAAGTATTTCGGTTTCTTCATAAGATGGTACTGAAACTTTTTAGTCCTATCGGCTACTTGCACCTTGGGGGGGCGTCCCCTCTTTTTAGCACCTCTTGTTGACATCACACTATCATATGGTGGTTCCAAATCCACGTGGGATATTACAAAAACAAACTTGTGTACAAATACGAATGTCAAAAGTTTAGTGAAAATTACTCACGACCGTGGCTCGGCTCTTTCGCCATACTAATCCGCTACGTCACGTGACAACAATGGACTCTTTCGCATTTTACCTGCTTTTCTATCGTTAACTTTCACCCAACGGTGGAAACACCAGCAAGATTAGTCGACTCCCTTAAATTTCAGCCGAAAAATAATTAATCGATAGCCAGAAAACGCTGGATAATGGCTGACGCGTACCCAAAGCGAAAAAGAACACTGGTAAGCGATGGCATCCTCCGCTCCTATTGGTCGGCCTGCAACGCCGCCATGACAACTTGCAACAATTTTTTCAAAATTTCGCAACCTACGTCCCGTTCTTTACTCAAAAGATGAAATTGCACCTGCACAACCGCAAATACATGAAAACACACTCAAATTGTTCAAAAAACCGAGCAAATCGATGAACTTTCGACGAAACGAGGCGCTTCGTATACAAGCCCATTGACAAATGTAAAGTATTGATAGAAGATGTCGTTAGTGTCGAAAATTCGATAAAATCATCGTGTTCTCATTAAATCGCCAATTGAATGAAATTTCGCCAGGTGAGAAATTCAAACATAATTTTGCAAGATCTTTCCCATCTTCCTTAGGATTTTTTTGGCTAAATTGGTCAAGATTATGTAACATTTCCGGCGCTAGTGGCGCCACCGGAACAACTTTTTCCACTATGGCCGACTTGTCAGTGGCGCACCCAAATCAACAAACCATTGTTGCCAATAGAAGCATATTTAGGGCGATGGCTACACCGTTTACAGTTATTTACTCAAAATGAATTAAAAAAAAAACAAAAAACTATTTTCGACAATTGTGTTCATGCAGTTAAAAAAGGTGCTTTTCATAACTGTAAAAATCATTCATGCAATGCAGTCAGTATTGTCGTTCTTTTAGGAATAAGTTTATTTTTATTCCATTATTATTTCGATCATTAATTAAACATTTGACCCCTATTTCATTCCCGCCAAGAAAAATCTTATTAACGACTTGTCGATAAAAGCCAAAGCAACGGCGATTATGGATGAAAATTTTTCGATTATGTAATATTTTAATTAATGGCTCTGGGTGTAATTTGGGAAGAAAAAAACGAAACTGGAAAAAAGAAAATCAAAATTTGAATAACGTATCGAAACCAAAATAGATGACGAACGCCAATGGTTGTGGAGAGGAAACGTGCGGAAAAGTAGAGGGAGAAGGGCGAATAAAAAATTAATGGCGACTGCCAAACACCACCATCATTAAACCATTGAAAAATAGTAAATTTTGCAAAAAACTACGATGAAGGCGCCGATAAAAATGTACCATTTGAAGCCGGTGGTGGTGCACGATTTTGCGGTGGAAGTGCCGAAATGCATGTACCGACTGGAGAGCATTCACAAGCTGAAAAAAGTCGATGACCCAAAGCTGAGTGTGTCTTCGCCGGAGAAAAAACTGGACATATTCGACCAGGTTAAACAGTTTTTAAAGGTTTTTCATCACTTATCTACTTAGCATTACTTTCCGCTTGTTTTCCTGATATTTTTTCGCTTGAAAACGGTCTTTACTTACCATTATTCGTGGGACACTTGCCTGCATGATACCACACTTATCAATTTTTGAGAACAACTGTCAAATAAAACTGAAATAAGGGAAATGAATAGTCAAAATGATGGTGGCACACTAGATTGCCCGGACCATCCAACTATTCACTCTCTATCAATCTCCAATTTCTCACAGTTTGCTTTACATATTGCTCCAATTTATTCAGCCTGTTTATTTAAGCATTTCGCTATAGAACTGCCAGGACGTTCCCGGAATGGCGGAGTTAGAAGCTAAACAATGTGAGATTTTAGAACAGTTAGCCGCATTAAAACAGCAAATTTCCACCCTTAAGAAGGACTTACTCATCCAAAACGAGCCGGCTTCGAAACGAACTCCCACAGTGGCTGTTTGCCCCCGAGTTGTACCAAATGTAAGTTGTAACACCCTATTTTTGTTTATGAATGCTTGCATGATATGTAGGGCAGGTGATTCAGTAAGGTTTTGAAACCAACCATGTTGAGAGTATACCACAAGTTGCCTTTAAGTGCTGAATAATCAGAAAATTGAATTTTCTTAATAAAGCTGCGACTGGTAAAATGTATTGTCGAGTTTCATACGCCTATAAAATGAGCGCCTTTATGATAACTTTTGCTTTACTTGGAGGCCTGGTATCGTTTCCAGTTCATTATTTTACCGTTTCCGTTTTTCATACCGTATAAAGAATTCCTAACCAACCCCAATCGCGTATCATTTGCAAAGTTATGAGGGTCTAACTTACACTACCTGTATATGTACTTACCAATTCATCTTTCTACAGCGGGGCAATACGTTACAGCCTGCAACAAGAGCGTGTTAATTTTTTGTAGTTTAAAACGAATTTAATATATATATAATATAAATAATCTTTATTTCCTACGGAAAAAGGCTATCGACCCAATCGGTCTTTCTGCCCTTGTTTAGTACATATGTCTTAGCCT